GGAAAGAATGGTGTATTATAGATAAATTGTAGTAAATAATGACTCATGGTTTGTATACCAAATAAAGTACTCCTTTATAGCTATCAAATGAACACATCTTAAAAAGAATCTATTAGATAATTGTGAAGCTATGACGAATTTAATTTGGAATAATATTGAAATATTTTTTTGAGTGTGGTGTCTAATTTTTGGATTCTATCAATTATTCAATATTATAGCATTCTATCATCATCACATTTATTATGACAATATTATTACAAATCTAATGACATCATTAATCATTAGTAGTAGCTATAAAAGTACCATTCTTAATTACAATTCTTAGCATGACATATTCCAAATTACTACATTCTAGGACCTTCTAGAATCTTTTGTAAATTTCAAAAATCTTCTAGATACATATAGAATCTTTTACAATCTTTTAAAAAGTTCCATAGGTTTCTAAAAGCCTCTTTAGACTTCTAAAAACTTCTACAAAAAGTACCATAGACTTTTGTAATCTTCATTATAGTATAAATAAGAATCTTTGGAACTAATTTTATTATCGATTTTATTCTTTGTCTTTAATTTTGACATATTTCTTTATCAGATTCTTGTATCTTTGATAATTCCTTGAATAACTATGAGATTTATTCTCTGCTGTCTCTAAGACAACATCACCTCTATTGTTCTTCATTCTCAAAAATCTTATGGTCAAATTGCTTCTAAATCTAACTAAAATAAAGCTACTATTTCTAAACTAGCAAAAAAGATCACTTTTAATAGAAAGAACCTTAAATTAAGTATACCAAAGAAGCTCACTGTAGTAGATAAAAGAATAGTCATTTGCCAAATCAACATTAGGAAGGCTAAAAATGCTATTGAGGTTGCTAAAAATCTTAAAAATATTATCAATAATCATGTGTCAATCCAAACTATTTGAAATATTTTCAAGAAATAGAATATGAATGCCATGGTGAAGAAAAAAAAGCCACTACTATCTACCTGCTATTGGAAACAATGCTTGGATTTTGCTCTAAATACAAGGAATGGATTATGGAGGATTGGAAGAGGATTATTTGGTTAGATGAGACAAAAATCAACAAATTTGGATGAGATGGCAAAAAGTGGGTATGGGAATAAAATGATTAGTTCTCGCTTGACAAGAAGATCCAAGAAATGGTTAAGCATGGGGGTGAAAATATAATGGTATGGAGTTGTGTAGGATAGAATAAAGTTGGAGGGATGGCAGAGGTTGAAGGGAGGATGGATGCCAAGCAATTTGTGAAAATTCTTGAAAAAAACCTACTTCCTAGCATTGAAGAATTTGGCATTTCTGATGAGGAGGTGATTTTTCAGGAAGATAACAATCCGAAGCATAATTCAAAACTAGCATGGAAGTCATTTAATCATCATGGGATTAAAGTAATGGATTGGCCTACTCAGTCTCTTTAACTTAATTCCATTGAACATCTTTAGGAGCACCTCAAATACCAGCTTAACACTTAGAAGATAAAACCAAAGGAAGTTTGGGAATTATGGAAAAGAATAGTTGTAGAATGGAATGATATTGAAGCAGTTTTGTACCAAAAGTTAATAGAAAGTATGTTTAGGAGGTTGGAAGCAATTATCAAGGCCAAAGAAGTTCTAAAAAGTATTGATATGTAATTGGATACCACACTCAAAAAAATTTTAATACTATTCCAAATTGGATTGATCATAGGTCCATAATTATCTAATGGATTGTTTTCATCCTATGCTCATTTGGTAGCTATAAAAGAATATTTTATTTAGTCTACAAACCATGTCTTATTATTCACTACAATTCATTTGTAGTACACTATTCTTTCTAAAATATGTTAATATTGAAACAATTTTTTGAATCAGTGTGTGTATATATATATATATATATATATATATATATATATATGCGAGCGGTCTATTATCTTACTAAAAAATCACCTCCTCATGAGGTAATATATCAATATATATATATATATATATATATCAATATATATATATATATATATATATATATATATATCAATATATATATATATATATATATATATATATATATATTTGCATAAATATAACACTTTTCTATATGTTTTTTCTTCATTAACATCTATGATATAAAGTTTTTATATTTTTTATATTTTTTATATTTTTTATATTTTTTATCCAAAAATATTTTCAAGGTTAAATTTATTTTATAAATTAGAAATAAAAATATACATTCTGTAGTTTACTTGGTGTGTCAACAAAGTTATCCATGTGCATGACTTAGATAACAACTCAATATAACAAATTTGGTCATAATAACTTTTATTCACATGTTTTGTGTAATTGAATTAGTTTCTAAATTTTCTGCAACAATCATATAAAATTTTAATTCATATTTCAAATATTATTTAGTTGATTAAAATGCTTGTGTATGTCAAAAAAATTCATCCTTCCATTGTGCAGTTTCATAATATATTTGTTTGATTGTAGAGTCAATTTCATCTACAACAACTAACTTGTTTGCTAATAGTATACAACAACTTCTTATTATGGCATCCACAACTAATCACTTAGCAGTTCCTACACCAAATATTCAACTGAGGCTTGATATGCTAATTTAAAGAAACTCAAATTCACTCACCATTATAACTTTAGAAACTGAGGCAGAAGTTCTATTTACAGAAGCTAGAGGAGTCATATACTGTTAGCAAACAAAACGCTCAAATACCATGTTGAAAAAATACAAAACTTTACTGCAATTTGCAATGACAGCTACAAGCTACACAGTAATATCCCAGTTGTTCAATTCAAAAAGGTGGTTAACCCCAGAGTGGGCAGACAAGGCTTATGAAAGCATAGTGTTACAGAGTTTGAAAAAATATGAAAAGAGTAGGAGGCAGCACTAAATTTGATGGACAGTGATCGTTTCAATATGCAAGAGAGAGGACCCCTGAATTTTTTCTAGTAAATAATCAAAATTAAGAAAAGTAAAAAAAAAATGACCAAGAAAAATTTATAAAAGCTTTATAAATGTTTGAAAATTATTCAAAATTTAAGAATTTTTTTAAAACAAAATATGAAATTAAGGTTGTAAATATTTATTTATTCACTCATCTTTTTTATATGTACCAAATTTACAAAAATTTAGAAAAATATATATAAATTAAATAAGCTAATTTTTTATTAGTAAAAGTACACACATGTATTTTTAATTTAAATAATATAAAATTATTTTTTGTATATACTAATTAATATTTCAATTTTTTTATTATTTATGATCATAAAATTTTAATTAGTATTTTTTTATTAAAAATTCAACTTCTAAGCTTAAAAAAATATATTTTTTCATTATTCTAAAAAAATTATTACGATTATATATATATATATATATATATATATATATGTGGACATACTTTAAGATTTTTCTTAACAAAATGGAATTAAAAAAAATTACCTACAATTTCTAGTTCTTTTATCTATTTTTTTTGTGCAATCTTCAATTGTGATTTTTCTTAATACATTTGGTTCATATCTATAAATACATAATACCAAGTACATTAAAAAAAACATTCAAAGTCTCATTTTTTTGAGTCATTGTAATGATATTATTGCTAAAATTTAATCGCCAAAATATATTTAACATTTGATTTTAAAAAATAACTACTAATATCTTAATTATAAAGAACCTTTTTTATATTCTTATTTGAGTTTTTTTTTTGTTAATTCTAAAAAGTATTATAATGAGACTTTAACATTCATATTTGTACTTTTTCAAAATAAAATTAAGCTACTATTACATTTAATGTCATATAATATATATATATATATGTATATATATATTCACACACTTATCTATTGTTCTTCTTGTTAATTAGTATTATCCATTGCAATAAAATTACTAATTATCGAAAGTTATTAATAGTAAAAGATGGTGCATTAAAGGCAAGATGGAAATCATCCTTACCATGGCTCTACAATCTAAGTTGGTTGCTTATGCAATGGCAGCCATGTGGCTACCAACCATGTGGTCTTGCCTTGCCTAATCACATATAGCCACATGCCTTTTATTTGCTACCTTTATTAATTAGTAAAAATCAACTAATGATTAGAAATCAAAATTTATTGATTATGCACCATAGAGCACATTTTTTTTTATGATTTTTTTAATTAATTATTGAGAATTAATTTATAGTGGAAACACTATATTTAACTTTCATTAAAACATATTATAATAAAAAATAATCACAAAATTATTTTGAATATCTTTTATAATTTATTTTGATCTATTCAAATTTAAGTGTCTTTTCACAGCACTACATAGTAATGTATTGATTTAGAAGCTCTCCTAAAAAAAGAAGGAGAGCTTTAAAACATTTAAACATTTAGAGAGAATAGGATGACTATTTTGCATTTTATTATTGCATTGAACCCTTTCTTTGAATCATCACTTAGGTCATTTTTTTGTTTATTTATTTATTCAGATATTATACTTGTGTCTTTTATATGTGTATAAACAAATATTAAATTTTTTTTAACTTTTTTATTTTTTATTTTTTATTTTTTTCTTCTAAGCATTAGGTACTATATGTTGAGATTTGAAAACAAATCATGATTTGTTTTTTCAACCTGGCTCCCTGCTCATCAAAATAAAAATAATGTTCTTGTACATTAAAAAAATCCAATATGAAGTTATCACTAAATCATCACTTACTTGTTGAGAGAACAAATTTATTTTGGAAATTCAAGCATTTCGAAATTTTACATCATTAAAATGTGCATAAGTTTCTGAATTTCACATGTGCAAACAAACAACAAACACACAATCACAAGATATCATGTTCTTTCACATGATTTTTTTTAGCATAGCACACAATAAAACAACAACCGTTATTATGTTTTCTATAAGACCAAAAGCTGTAGAAAAGATAAAGGTGAAAGGAAAGAAGATGGAGATGGGAGGGTTTCGCCATGTTGGATCATCGCCTTAGGGGCACCATCTGGAGCACCTCCCAGCTAAAACCCAACAAGCAGAATGGCAAAAGTGCAATTTTTAGGGTTGGGATGGGGAGGAAATGGGAGAAAAGCCTGGCACCCAAATTTAATTCGGAGCCATCTCGCACAATCGTGACTCATCTCCCTCATGCTCATGGGCAATTCCGTGTTCGTCTCGATGTTTATGCCCATCTCTTTCAATGCTTCATGTCCCTTCTCCCTCATGTTTCCATGTGTGAATGTGTATATCATATCATACTCTTTACTCATCAGACTTTCTCGAAGCCTCAGTGCCTTCTTTGCCTCTTTCTGCAATCCATTGCCTCGTCCTCACCTCGATCTCCCCTTGCATTCCTCATCTTGGTGCATTCCATTGTCCCAGTCTAGCTTGAAGTTGGAGGACAATCGGTCCTAGACACAGCTCTGCATGAGTGTAAGTTAGCTGGAGACGCTATTTTGCCATTGTGTCTGTATTTTTCTTAGCTTGTGTTGGTGTTGAGTATTTTGGACTTGAGTGAAATTGCTGCACTTCGGGACACGCTTGTTTGTGGAACGTGTAGTGGATGAGGATTTCTGAAGCAGGGGAGGGGTTTTCTGTGGGGTTCAGGGACGTGGAGGTGTTTGAAGCTGGGAGTGGAAAACCCTCGGGTGTAAAGTTCGGGGTGATCCGGAACTGTCGTTTGGCGCATGGGTTGAGGGGGCAGGTGGAGCTGTGGAGAAGTTTTAAGGGATGTGAGAGGGGTGAGAAGTTATTCCGCACTACCGACATCGCCAGAAAGGATCGCCTCTATCTATATACGCATGCGTGGATTTGATCCTAGTTGGTACCTCTCGCTGCTTGGTCTTCTTCTAGATGTCAACCCTACTTTCTCATCACGCACATTGTTTCACGCTGGGTCCGTTTAGCGTGGGAAATAACTCTTACTTATATTTTGTTGAGTGGGTTAGCACGTAAAGATATTTTGAACCATGTGATGCTTCGGTTAGCTGTATAGGTTTAGCTGCACCTGCGATCCTTCTGTACAATCTTTTTTAAGCAAGCTCCAATGCTACGAATTGATGGTATTCGGACTCGGCGCACGGATGATCTACGTTAACTCTCGCACTCGTTGTAATCCTCACATTTCGCGAATGTACAGTGATTTCGTAGCCTATTCAAATGTAGCACACCTAATTGGTCGCGGATGTGGAACTTGCAACACTACATGCCTGATTCATTGTTATCTTTGTTGTGTCTTGTTTTCAAGAGTTGTTGGAAATAATCGCTTGAATCACCTCTCTACATAAATGATTCAGAGGTGATTATTGTGGGCTCTCAGGTGATCAACAAGAGGAAGAAATATGCTAGGGTCAACGGCCCGCCGTCCGGGGTTGCCAATCAGGCGACCCCCTGGGACTTCACAACTTGGCATCAGCGTCACTCCACCTCCCAAACCTCGATTTTCCCCCATGGTTTCCATCTGCTTCCTAGCAGTGGTGTGTAATATACTTTTCTCTATATACCCCCGTAATTGTTACTTTTAAAAAAAAAACGAGATCTCTATGGTTCAATGTCATTGGATTATTTCTTGTGGATTGAGGTTGTAGCCATTAAACTGTCTAGTATTCTTGATGTTGGACCTAAGTGACTTTGTCCATCTGCAGTTTTTGTCCATAGAACTATTTTGTGAAGGAAAGCAATCCGAAAACTTGTGGCCGCAGTGTTGTTAATTATCTTGCTCACAGTGCGACAGGCTTTGTGATTTTGTAGGGTGCAATCCTGCTGTTTGGTTATTCGTATGGAGATTTGGGTAACCTTCTTATTTGATATGGAATTTTCTGCGTTTTATCTACCTTTCCTATGTATGTATGAACACCTGCTTGTACACTTCACTTTGTTTTCGGTTACAGTTTTGAGTAACCAGTATGTTCATTCATCTCATGCCTTCTAACTCTTTTGCGTGGGAGATTCAAGTTTTCCAGAGTCCACAGTCCAATGATCCCGAGATAAAGGTTACAGAGGTCAAGGATACAGGTGCCAAAGAAGTAACGCAAACGACGCCCGATAACGATATTGAGGAGGAACCTCAGCTTGTTTGGGATGGTGAGACCTTTGAAACAATATTCTACCAAAATATTCCCCTTAACCGACATTCTATGCATTACAGACTCCAGGTCCGGTATTTCTTTATAGTCAAGTCGATCTAGACAACTATGACAAAGTATAACCTTATCGTTTTCGGATACAGGTGTCAAAGCTTCATCACAATCTGAGTGCACAGCATCTGTATGTGGGGTTATAGATGTTCTTCAAGACATGTATGGAAAGAATATGCTCCGTTTACTTCACATTGGTCCTGGGACTTGTGGAATTGTCTCTAAGCTCTTGGAAGAGAGTAGCTCTGAAGTGTGGGGTGTCCAGCCTTTCCCAATGAAATCACCTGTTCAGAAAAAATGTCAAACCCTCGTCAAGAAGGGCCTTATCCGAGTTGCAGAAGTTAACCAAGTATTGCCATACCGCTCTCGCTCTTTCTCATTTGTTTTAGTAACAGACATTCTGGACGTCATGAAAAAGCGAGACTTAAATACCACCCTACCTGAGCTCTCACGGTTATCAGCGCATGATCTCGTTGTGATTGTAGGTAAAATTCTCCATCCCATAAATTTGAAGCGTGTACTTGCCCTCCAATTTCATTATTTTTGATATTCACTGTTGGAGAACTTGGATTTTTCTGTATTCTGCATGCTGCCTTTTCCTTACTAGATTACCGTTCGCATGTGAATACATGTGGTTTAGTGTGCCTAAGACTTCCTTCTTGTAGTGCAAATGCTTTCTGTAGTATCTCGGTCATCATGCAATGCTTGACTTAGCAGACGTCAACTTGTTAGTTTACGTATTCATCTCATGGCCTTTTCCTAAATCCTAGATAATTCTTGAGAGGTAGCTTTAATCGTCTTTAGAGCTTGAGGATTTTGACATTTGTCTTTGCAGGCAATGGCAGACCACAGCCAATCGAAAATACGGCGTTAGCTGGACAACTTGGAAAATTTGTAAGTGACTAAACTAGGCTTACTGCTCCTTTGATTGGATGAGGTGTTTGGGCTCCTTGCGTTTTCTATTGCAACTTTTCCTTCGGGATCGTATTAACATCATTTTGTCGCAGAACAAACCAAGGACGCGAGATTGGTGGTTGCAACAGTTCCATGCAGCTGGTTTGAAAGAAGATGAAGAAAAGAAGACTCACTTCGAGGTAGCCGTTTCGGAGCGTGGAAATAAGTCCAGCTTTCACATCTTCCACTTGATCGTTCCCTCCTTCAGCAGTCCGATATAGGTATGGCCACCGATCCTTTACCGTTGATTGCTTTTAGTTGGACACGTCGTTCGGTGAAATAGCTCTCAATTATTTTGTTTTTCCTACAATTGAATGTTGCAAATTTTTCGTCGAGAGGAAGAGTCGCACTTTATGTTTGGATAGTGTCGTCTTCGGCCAAGGATATCTTAGCAGCTGGAGTTGGTAGCCTCTTCATGGGCAGAATGTGATGATAAGTTACGTCTGTTCTGTATGCAGGTAGTCGACCTGAAAACTCTTAAGTTATTTCAAATGTCAGTGTTTGATGGAAGAATGGTGCTCATGAAGTGCCTCATTTTTTTCTGTATTAAATAGAGTTTAGAGAGACTTTCATGTGATGGTGAATGGCTCCAGGTCAGGTATGTAGTCCCTGATGACACTGTTTGTATCGGACAAAACTTAGGTTGTTTATTTAACTTTAACTAGCTGAATGTCAAGCTTTAAACATAGAAATTGGTTTTGGCATTAATACCATGCATCACAATGCTGCCTTAACTGAGAATCCTGGTCAAAGGAGACCCTTGACTTGTGGCAAGGTGCCGTAATGCGCTGATAGCTACACTTAACTTTTGTTGGTTTTATATTTCATCATTCTTGACACCATTCATCGGTATTATTGTACTAGTGAACTTTTCATTACCATGTGGGCAGCCTGGTGAGAACAATTGGTTCACCACAATTTGAATTGGTGCTTTTCTTTTGTAGTGTCTGCTGAGAACTTTTAGCATGAAGGCTAACTAATACCCAAATGCTTCTTTTGTATAAAATACATCTATACTTCAGACTCTTCTGATGGATAAATTCTAGCTTTTTAATGCTGAGATCCACACTCCAACATCTCTGATGATAATCTCAAATAACTCGTACATCAGCATGAATGCATTTCTTTATTTTTTCGTTTTTAAATAAGTGATTTAATATTAAGTCGCAAGCCTTCTGAAAGTAACTCTTCGTTAAGAAATATGGTATTTTTCTGGTCCGAAAATGTAAAATAACACTTTTGCATATTTAGTTTCACATATTTGAGAATGGTAATAGGTTTGTCACCATTGCACAACATCTAAAAGATTCAAATTTAGAATACCACATAATCTCTTCCTGGTAATGACAATTACTGATAACAGTTTTAGCATCAATGATATTAAATTCTAAGAAGCATAAACAAATAGTACATATAAAAAGAAAGGTGTAATATCATATTGACAATTACTTCATTTGCAAGTATAGAGAGAAAAAAAAAAAAAAAAAAAAAAAAAACTGTGTAGTTAAGTTTATATTAGATCTGTCATGTGGTCAATGTTGTGGTTGAGGATAAAGTACAATTTGTAAATTGGAAGAAGATAATTCATTTACACATTATTGGTAAATATATGAAAAACGTTTTTGGTGTCTTAGTTGCAAAAAGTTATTGTTTTGGAAAGAATTTGTTTAATTTATTATGAGCTTGAATTACAAAAATTTATAATGTGCTAGTGATTTTATACTATATACTATAATGTACAACTTCAATGTATTACTACCAGCTTCCTCCTAATATAATAGAATAAGCTCTAATAATTGAATTAATTGTTTAATTTTTAATCTTCTACTTTATCAAGAAGCATGGATCCACTTTGTTGTTAAGTAAGAGCTTCTAAATTAAGAATTTAATAGCCCTTTGTCTTAGTCTTTGATTTTTTATTTGATTAGTTTCTTTAAGCGCATATAAATGAAGTTATATTTAACTAAGGTTTTCTTCATTGAACTAAAAAGTTTAAAAACATAGCACCTAATTTGCAATTGATGAGCCAAAATAGCACATTTGCAAAAAAGTGTACATTATTTTGATTTTTGTATTTTTTTTCTTAATGTAATAACATTCTTATAATTCTTCATCCTTCAAATATTAGCATGTAAACAAATAAAGATTTTAAAAAATAGATTAATTATTTATTTTGAAATTACATATTATATAATTTTAAAATCACATATTATATGTGATATTAATTATATAGATTTAATATCAAAAAATTGTGAAAATATGTTTATGCTTATTATGTAAGTTAGTATAATAATAATAATAATAATAATATGTATATATATATATATATATATATATATAGATATAAGGAATTATTAAGGCCACATCTCCCATTGCCATTTCATAATTAACTTTGTCTATATCCCTTCTTGTCCTCCATTCTTAGTCCATGTCCTTAGTCTCTTGTTCCCGACACACCTTCCCAACATCTCCATTCTTACTTATTTTCTTTTAAAATAAGTTACATAAGTTAAAATATTAAAGACAATTGGTTTTCCATTGCAACAAATCTTAATCTTAAAGTCACTTATCTTCTAAGAAAAATCAAAATTTTAATTTTTTAATTTTTAAAAAATATTATATATAGTCATATAGATAATAATTTTAGTTATATATAAATATAGTTCTTATAATGATTTAGACTATTTTAGTTTTCATTGAAATTTATATATAATAAAATATTAAGATGATAATTTTATAAACAATAACATTCTAAATAGAAGAATTAAACATTCATACAAAATTAGAATATAAATATTTATAAATATGAAATATTTTTTGCTTTTATTTGTTTATTTGTATATTTTATGATTTTTAATTATATTTTTATTTTTATTTCTTCTGGATATTATCTTTTTTGAAACAACTTTTTATAGGATTTATTTTTTTATAATTTTTTATATTAGTTATTTTAATAAAATATAGTGTTTGATTATATTATAAAATATGTACTTATTTATTTTTTTATTCTCTAAAAATTTACTTTAATTACTTATATAATTTTTACTTGATTAATATTTTAAATTATATATGATTTTATTTCAATAGAATTTAATTGAGTATGATGTTGATTTTTATTGGTTTTTCATCTATACCATGCAGAGATCTTGTTTTGAGTCCAAACTTTAGTTAATTATTAAGATATTAAACTTTAAACTACAAATCTGCGAAATCTACAATGGATTGGTATAGCAAAGTTTTATGTTCAGTGTATCTATTAATTACATGATATCTTTAAAATTTCTCATATTAAAAATTATCAATAAAGACAATTTGATTATACATAGGAAAATAAAATTAGAAAAAAACTAAATTATCATGTCATATTTCTTCCTTCATATCAAAATATATGATGCAAAATATATGATGCAAAATTTAATGGTAAGAACATCTAAAGCAACCGTATTTACCATACATAGGACAATTGTATTGAAAAGATGCATATATATATATATATATATACGGAATATTGAAGAAGTTTCTATATATATATATATATATATATCTCCAAAAAATGACCTGAGGCACGACTCCCATTTGTGCGGCAAAAGGGGCATGCAAATCGAACGCCGCCATCCGCAAATCGTAAAGCCCTTTTGGCTTCGTCAAGTTTCCATGCTGAGTTGACTCCCTTTGTACCAATCTGTACACCCAATTGACAACCTGCGAATTCCTTTGTACTTTTCACGCATTGCCTCTCCCAATTAATAGATCCTCGTACAAAAATGGAAGTCAGAAATGCAAAATGAGCAGTCTGGAGTATGAAAAGCAGCGATCAGATGCTGAGGTTTTGTGCCGAAATCAGTGACAAGGTGGGTGCAGTTTGCTTGTTACACTTGTAAAAACTCCAGCTTTGATTGGAACTGAGATGTGGATCTGAAAAGCGTCGCTTCACCGTTTCGAGTTGATAGTCCACATTGCACACACACACACACACACAAGGTTTTCGGTTCCTCGGCATTCGCACTGCTGCTGAAATGCGAAGAAGAAGAGATGATGTGGGATGAAGTGGGGAGCGGTGCTCAGTGATGAGAAGTGAGATGTGCGCCGATATTGAACTGCATTGAATACTCCGCCGCCGTTTTGCATTGTGCAAGGATTTTGCCAGCGAGGGGAGTGGTGCCTTCGGGCATGCGCTCGGTGCCGAGGAGCCGTCTCTGGCAGCTCCATCATCCATGCCTGCAGATGCACAGCGTGCGAAATTGGGTGGCTGGGTGCCGTCGTAGCCTGTTCGTTGCGATAAGTTGAGAGGGTCGACAATGCCGTTGCTGGTGGAATTGTAATGGGGTGGAGATGTTGGAGTGTGATTGTGAACAATCAAATCGCTCGTTCGGATTCAAATCCCTCCTTATCTCGTCTTCGCCGACGCCACCTGATCGACTCCTACATGAGTTGACCCAGGATCTGAAGCTGTGATATGGTGACTGTGTATGAGAAAGGGCGGCGCGTCATTTTAGACAAACTCTGTAAGGTGACTTGTATGTAATATTGTTCATCTTCGATGATTTCGAGAGTATTTTTAGCGAGCTAGTGGATCGCCCGCGGTTTCCAGGCATTCTTGTAACGAGCACGAGTGTTATCAAGTGAAGCTAAATGTGAGACGATGGGGGTGTGTCTCAGTAGATGTGGCGAGGCGCAGCAAAAAGCTGGAGTAGTGGCGGCGCCTATCTCGCATCGCAACTGCCTGGAGCATACGGCTGGATCGCCGCATGATCCCAACCTTTCCCTCAAGAAATTCCTTCATCTTCACGCCTCTTTTTCCAGGAGGAGCCTTGGCGAAGAGTTGATGGTGATTCCGCACAGCAGCGAGCTCTTCTCTCTCCCGGATTCTGACGTCGGGCGATCTAGCTGCACCATGTCGCCATCCTCGGCGCGAACGAGTCGAGCGTCCGTCTCGTCGAGGGTAACATCCTCCCCAAAGTCCCGAAACTCGTTCAGCGTCTTGGGGGGGGGGGGGAGATTGTCCACCGATAGGGCCTCAGGTGGATGCAGAAAGCGGACTCGGCCATCGCGGAGCTCGTCGGCATTGGTGGGCGACCACGACCTCGCGACTTACCTGCGTCTCGTGGAGGTGATAGCGCGACTGCAACGTTTGAGTGATGGGAAGAATTTGCAGTTGCGAGGATCTTCTGTCCGCGGGTCGGACCTTGAGCGAGTGTCGAAGCCCGTCCTTCAGAAAACTCGGTCGGGGGAACTCGAGCGACCAAGTTTTCTGCCCCACCGAAGCCGCCAAACTCGCCATTACAAGCTTCCCCTGCAACGTCCGAAATTCACGATGTGTCCCGCGGACCACAACTCTCAGAATAAACTTGCTGAAGATGCATCGACCATGACGAGTCCCTCTCCGCCTTCTCAGTCGAAGACTCTGAGCATCCCCGCCCCTCTCGCTAAACTGGAAACCAAGCAAATGCTACTGGATAAGACAGCCACGAATCTCTTGTGAAAACCACAGAATTCCACATCGTCCATCGAGAAGCCACCGTTGTCATCGTCATTGGAAAGCCGTTTGAAGAGGAATGACGACCCGTCGACCAACCCGACTTTTCCTAAACGCGTCGAGGAAAGCAAGTGTATGCTGCCCCTCCTCCCCAGCAACAGCCTTTACGATGCAGACAGCGACGAAATGTTAACGCTCTTTGAGGCCACCTTCAACGATTCTCACGTGATGAGAAAATTCTCTCCCCGAGCGAAGTCTCTCCAGCAAATGGTGCAATCCGCTGGTCAAGGATGTCATTCGAGCTACTCGGTAGGTTGCTTCCAACGCTTATTTCAGTATGAAATGTGCGAAGCTCTTATCCAATGATCAAAGGAACGAAGCGCCTGGTGTTCGTGTCAATCTCTATACATAGAAATTTCCTGCCGCTGAGAAAGCCACTGCATCACAGAACTTGGAGTTGGCGAAGAGAACGACAGGGAGCAAAAATCACTCCCAGAGACCACTCACTGTGGATCTATCCGCAGAAAAGGCCACGGGTCCAGACACGGGGTTGAGTATCTCAGTGTTTGCAACCCATCTTGCGATGCAACTTGTGCTTCTGGTTTGTAATTCGTTCACGTTCATGGTCTCCATGTATGTGGTTGGGCTTTTTAGGATTCTTCTAACTCAGTCTGCTATTGTTTCCAATTAGTCAGACAGAATGGAAAAAGCAGCGAGGCCAGCTTTCTCAGAAATCAACACCAACGTCATGTCGGTGATGAAGAAGTCGCCCTCCAAACTGACACCCTTGAAAGGCTTCAGGCGAGGAGATTCACGGTCTTTGGATTTAAGAGATCGCAGCTGCGAATGCAGATTTTGGCTTGCTCGGAAATGGTTCGGCACGTCACTCAGCTAGTCGCTTTTTCAACTCGTCCGAAGGTAAACGTAACATTCAAGGTTTCTTTCACTCTCCAGTTGTCGCAATTAGCATGTCTGCATGTTGCATCTGCTTTCACACCCAGTGCTTTGAACATCACAATTTTGTAACGAAACTCCACCCAGCAATGTAGAATCCTTTTTCATCCGCACACACACACACACACATATGTATATATATATATATATATATACATACATACATATAAGCTATAAGCTGCAACACGGATAAATTGACTTTGAGCTCATTTTCTCTGTTGCAGAAGCAGTTGAAGCAGAGGGCACGGAGATGAGGTTATCACCTGCAGTCAACACATGCAGCCTAGATGTCAAACTGGAACAAGCTGACTGTGGACAACAGGAAGACGGTGCCATCGCTTTAGAGCCTTCTTCAACTGTCAGGATCAGTACCCCAGAGCCAATGACTTCACGAGTGTTGGTGGTACGAATGATAACTCCCATCATTCTGATTGGAAAATCACAGTTTAATTTATTTGCTTGTCTTCGAAGTGACATTTTTGTCGGATATGCAGGTCTAAGCATAGTAACTAATCTCTGCAAGTGTAAAACGCGTTCACGAGCAGGTTCCATGCCCTGACGCAGACTGCAACTCCAGCAACCCTGAGAAGCTGGACGACGACAAACCTCTAGAGCTTCCAGAGACAAACTCTTCCTGTGCGGTGAGGATACCAACTCAATCACCCACTGCTCAGAATCAGTGTCTGCGTCCATTTCGAGCACCAACTCTCCCCCGTATGAGCGTGACCCCGTCGAAGGCATTTACAGCTCAAGGCCAGACGCGGCCGCCGATTCCCAGAGGTTTTTGTGCAAGGCTTTCAACAGCCTTCTAACGCTCCTACAAGGCTCTATAAGCGAGCATCCTCCTGAGCAAGGTGGGGAAGAAATGGGCACCCCGTGACTAGCGAACCGAACATGAAACATTTCAATACTTGTGACGAAACTGCAACACCATGCTTCGTGTAGTAACGGGGCTCAGGCCTTTAGGGCACGCCGGTAACGATCTCAACATCAAAGCAACGATCTGCTAGCTTCCTTCCAAATCCTGGTGGGAAATTTGCACCACTTAGAAACCAGCGGCATCCACCAGCTCCTCAGCCGAAGCTGGGTCTTCATGTCGTTAGCCGTTTCGGCACGTTCAAACATCGGTGGACAACTTTGCATAATCATGCAACATCGTCGCCTCAAAATGTGAGCTGAACCGATGCCTGTTTGTCATGAATCGCATGCGAAGTGTTTGTTGTCTTGCTCAAATTTCAATGGTGGAAAGTTAAAAGCATTTGTATCTTGATAATTTTTTCATTTTTTTCATTTTTTATTGTTTCATTCTATTTTATTTGTTCCGGAAGAAGAAACAATGAAGTTGAACATCTTTATATTGCTTTTTGTAGGTAGATGAGAAGCTTTGGTGCCGCAAGTTGTCGATGGAATGCAGTGCCGAATGTTGCACTCTACCTCCCACATTTCTATATGAAAAACCATGTTTCGACATTCGACTTCATTCTCACTACAATTGCGCATCTGCGTTCACAGTTTTGCCAAAGCGTGCACATCAGTATTGTATGTGTTTTTAATCTGTTTGATTCCATCAACTAGTTATATTTAGGACAAAGAATAAGGAAATAATAGACAAGTAAATCAACATGTGCAAATTCGAATCTTTTGTCTTGATAATGTCGTATTCCAACACATCTTTAGATAGTAAGATAAATAAATTACTAAATATATGATTTACATAAATTACTAACAGAGGTAAGTAAATAAATTATTACCTTGATGCATTAATATGCATTAATAGCTAATTCTACTTCAAAGTGAGATTCATTGCAAGTGCCTTAGACGTCCAAAGAGTTTGTAAACATGCTATGTCCTTGTAAATGCTAAGGCTGTTTGCATCAATGAGATGATGAGAGTAATACTAAAATACTATAGATTGTTATAAATAAATAAAATTGATAAATATTCATCCCCAGATGAAAAATATGTTAAGCAGGAAAAATGTAATATTATGTCTATTTTAGAATTAAATGCATATCACAATCAATGATTTTTATAATAATATTTTCATATGGTTTTGTATTATTTCATTATGAGATCTAAAGTGTTCATGGAATCTAAACTACTCTATGGAATATTATGTCAAGTTCAACAAAGATTGCTTAGATAATCAAGTTGAAAAAGTTTAAAAATCAACACTAAACATCATTTTATTTATTTATTCTTTTCAGTAATTTTAAGTTTTTGAGAAATTGTTCCACATTGCTCAAATGTGAGTACAAAACAAGTGGAAAGAAACAAACAATCTTTGTCTTCTATTTCCTCTCTTATTATCTTGTCCAATAATGAGTTTGTACATGCTAAGTTAGTAAAACATTGCATTGGATATGAGAATACTTTTTAGTAAATCTATAATTTCAAGAATAAAAAATAACTAAAGAAGCAAATAAGTAAAACTCAACTATTTTATTCAACTCCTTTTTGACTTTAGAGTAGCATAATAGTATAGTGTAGGTTGTTACATCATCTTTTTGATGATGTGGATTGTTACTCATACATTTATGTCATGTGAGCTCTTATGTCAATGGCTGCATCAAGTGATAGTCTAAATCACAACTCATACCATGTTATAGTATTATATTTATTGGATGTATTCTATAAATAAAATTTTAAAATTTTAAAAATAAATATGTGTTGAATTTATCAGTTTATTTTGTGTTTTGGACATATTTATATTATGTTTTTTTCTAATAATGATTGGTATTTTAGATATTATTATTATTATTATTATTTATAAATACTAAAAAATATCTTTTTGTATTTCTTTATTATTCAGTATAATCTTTAATGAAACAAAATATTAATTTTTTCATTCAACATTGTTAATAAGAATTACAATATATATATATATATATATATATATATGTGTGTGTGTGTGTGTGTGTGTGTGTGTGTATATATATATATTAAAATCTTAAGTTATCATCCTTAACATAGTTTTTAAATGTTTAATTACTAATTATTTAAATATCACATATTTTATATTATTCATTATTATTTTGTATAATTTTAAAATTTTAAAATATAAAAATAAACACTTTTCATCATTCTTAAGTTTGATTGTATATATTTGATTTATTAACTTTAATTTTAGATTAGTAATATTCATTATATCTAAAATAAATTAAGATCTATCATAAATTTTAAGTATTTTTTTAAATTAATAATAAAATAAAAATCAATTAGAATGATATTTTAAAAATATATATTAAATAAATAATAGTATTTTTTCAAAAAAATATATTTTATGTACAAAAAAAATTATTTACTTAAAAAAAAAACTAAACACATCATAAATAATAATATTAGATATTATATATAAAAAATTAAATTAAATCATTATTTAAGCAAATTTGATAGTATTACATATTTATTGATTATGGTGTCTATATATATATATATATATAAACAAATATCTCCTAAAAAATAATTACAATACTATTAGAATGAAGTCGTTGATAAGATTTGTAAAAAAAATTATTTCAAAAATAATTATATATTTTATTACGAGTAATAGTAATTTAATTTAAAAATCTTATAATTTATATTTAAAAGAATATAATATCTAAGTAATATATTTATAATTTTTTTACATTTAATATTCTAATTATTAGACCAATAATGAGTTATCAAATAAATCTTAAAAAACCAAGTTGATTGATTTCTTTGACTTTTTGGAAAGTGTAGTAATCAACTATAAATTTTAATACCAAATAATAACCATTTAATAGAAAAAGATGTGCATGGCTAAATTAATTTCTATCATAATGTTTTTTTAATAATTTGAATGTTAATACTCTAATAGTGAGATTTTTAACTCATTAGATTTTGAATCCAAGAATACAATTTCAACTCTCTCTATGACTCTTTAATTTAGTGAATATACTTATGTATTGGAATAGTTCTAGATTTGAAAATAACACTAAATTATTTGGCAATTTTACTAATAGAAACATACACAAAAAACTCTAAATTTTCAAATTTTATTAGAATAAAATTTAGAAGCTAAATATATGTCTATAAACTTTTCTTTTGTAAATTAATTTAATTTTAACTTAAGCTTATGTACAATTTTCATGTATGATGTGTAAATGAAATACAACAACAAAACTAGCAAACATAACAAAAAAATTTGCTAAAAAGCAATTTCAAAGATAAAATATAAGATGTAATGTACTTTAGTAAGTTTTTTTTTTACAATAAAAATATAATTTGAGTTGTCAAAGCCCTATTTCAATCAATAATATAAATTTAAAATATGGATATTAGGTAAAAAATTTCTTTTATATTGTTATATTTTGAATCTTTAAATTATAAATTTATCAACCACATAATGTATGTTAGCTTATAAGTTCTAAGAGATTCTACAAAATAAGAACCAATTTTTTAAGGCCATGGTTTAGAAGTTTGGTAAAGGTTTCTTATTTATTAAAAATAAATAAATAAGTTTAGATGTGTTGATCTTAAGGAATAGTGTTAAGTTAGAAAAAATAATTACATGGACCAATTTTTTTTTCTATTACCAATATAATAACTCATATCTTCATTTTGAAAAATATAACAAATATAAAATAGTTTATGTTAAAATATTTTTATAAATATTTTTAACAAATCTTATTACATGTTTTTAGATTTTTATAAAAATTTCTTATTAATGTGGATCTAAAATAAATTCCTAGAAATGTCACTATTCATGCCATGCATGAAAAAAAATATTATACTTTATTCTTTTCTATCTTGGTTTCCAGTTTTACTTTTTTAAATTATAAATCCATTAAATTTTAAAATCTATATCATTTTTTTTTCTTCTTAGCATAAAGACCTCTCAAACATGTAATTTTGTAACTAATATGATAAAAAAATAAAAAATAAAAATATATCAACATGAAACTTAAAATTGTAAAATTAATATAATTTAAAATATCTTCATGCAAACCATTTATAATCTTCTTTGTATTACTATTATAAGTTTGTGAGTTATCTATAGCCATAATTTGTCAAGGCTTTTATCTTGTTTTTTTCATAAAACTAAAAATTAATTCTAAAATGATGATAATAATAATAATAATAGCGTATTATTATGACAAAAGAAAAGATTTTTTTAAATGCTACTTTGAATCATATAATTCCATTTTAAAATCCATAATTATTAATTATTTCTAATAACATAGTTTTATAAGATTAATTCACCAATTAATAAAAAAATCATAATTTAATTTTTTAAAAAAGAAAAAATAATTATATTCTAAAAAAACTCTTACAACTACATATATAATGAATTTTTGCACTTGCTACAACTTGTCACGGACATATGCATTACTTCAATAATTACTTATATGATTAGGTAGAAGTAGGTAAATATAGATTAATTTCATAAAGTCTTTTAAAGAAGCTTCTTAAAAGCTTCATAGATGTGGTTTTGACTTTAAATATGTTTGTAGGTCAGAAACTTGGCTAAGAAGTTCACCACATGTTGGTAGCTTGTAGAACAAGTTAACTTTGTATAATAGCTTGTGGAATAATCTAATAATGTGGTACATACATAAATAACTTACCTTGCAAGTTAAAACATGTGGCTAGCAAAGTCAACATGTTTTGGAGGTCCTATAGGACATTGCCTTATAGCTCCTAGTTAAGAGTATATATGGAGGCAAGAGTGTTTCAAGACTTGTCAATACTGTTTTAGTTCTTAGTCTTGTTTCAAGACTTTCTAGTCTTCTTGTTTTTAGCAATAGCTATTCCAGTTAATATTACATTATTTTTTGAGTGACTTTTTAGTTTTCTTTAGTGACATAAGAGTATATCGAGGATTCTCTTTCTTTAAGATTTATGTCTTTGAAAATTTGATAAGAATGCTAATATATTGTTTTTGTCTTGTTATAGAAGTGACTGGATTATCCTACTTCTATTGTTGTATTTTGAAGGTTACAGACTACATATCTTTTAATCAAAAAAATCTTCTTTTTTAATATTGATCTTTCCTTAAAGAGAGTGGATTATTCCTCTTTGTGGAAACTTTTATTACAGGTTGCGGATTACCCTCCTCTAATTTAACTTTTTGGATTTATTTGAGTTACCTATAGAAGAAAAGATTATAGATGCTACACATAGCAATAGTGAAAATAGATTTGTAACTATTGCAGATCTTCATGAGCTTGTGAATGCTCTTAGAGTGGAAATCTTACGTATGTCTAACGTGAATTGTTGGGGTACTATGCCTACACTGATAGAAGAAATCTAGAGTTTATGGCAAGAAGTTATACAACTGAAGAAAGTAAGTAGATTAACCTCATAACCAAATCCAGGGATTTTTGCTTCTATAATTATGATAGGAACAAGGATTAATATGCCTAAGAAGTTTAATGGAACAAGATCAAAATTTTGAAGATTTTTGCAAAAAGTCAAGCTTTATCTAAGGTTGTACTTCTATTAAGAAATGTTCTTTCTTGGTTTGCACCTCTAATGGGAAAAGATTCGCGACTCTTT